AAAATATTAATGACTGATACTTAAGCAGAATTAATTTAATTCATTTAAAATGTAAAAAACAAACAACCAGGAGGATTGCCACAACAGAAGTACGTAAAAATAATGAGCCCGCTTAGGCTCAGGATCTAGAAAAACATGACAGAAGAAGTATCACGGATATGAAAAAGACACTGCCTGAAGGTACACAGCATCATTCAGTAAGCTAGTGGATACGATTTGTGAAAAGCGCGATAAGTGGAAGCTGAGATAAGTATATTATGCGTTAAGTTGATGATACCTGAAAACGCTAAAATGCGCTACAGCATGCAATATTAAACCACATGTTTTGACACTTCCTTTACGGGGAGACCTGAAACTAACCTTGAGTCAAATCAATGACCTCAAGGGAAACCTGAAGATCCTAAAACAGTATAGGAGTATTCATGGAGTAAAACTTCCTGGTGCGTGTGTGCATAATGGGAAAACGAAAGTACACGAAAAAAATCCGTGGCGCTCAACGTGAATATCTGTAGTTGCCGTAATTAGGTGACCGCGCTGGATCTTTTAAAAGTAGATGACTGCTATAGTCTGCACTTCATTCCAGAAGCAGCTTCAGCACAATGTTGGAACCGTTCGGCAGGAGCTGCTGTTCTTAGAACAATAAGCAGAATCTAGAACGTAAAAGTCTGTAATGATGAATTCTGATCAGTGTGTGACGAGAGTAGGAATATGTGAGCCTACAATCTTGGCATAATACAAAGGTTAGCAAAATATTGCGGTAAAACAGTTTAGAAAATTGTCTGTTCATAAAAGTTGCCTTAAAAACAGCTGGGACTGGTGAAAAGTGACACTCGTCACCTAAAAATATGCCTGACAAATTGATCAATATGAAAGAACGAGGTAGCCAAAAGAAAAGGGTTTCGTACGTCTTTGCTTACCTTCCTCTATAAGTTCGCCGACGAATACCTTGGCAATACCTGCCATTGCTATAACAACGTTTGGGCTAACGTTGACTCCAGCCACTTGCTGAATGATCTAAAAAAGCGTTTTGAATTTGTAAACACTCTTGCTCAACTGATATACAGATAAATTAAAACAAAGATGTATAAGTCATAATCTCGTCTGTCAACTGTCAGTCCATCTTCTCATTTTTTGCTAGGGGTTTCTTTGCAGGTTGATAAAGAACGCTGCTTATAAACTGCTCAACGATGAGACCATGAGAGCCATAAATTGTTAGTGATTTCCTGTACGCTGTTGCTGTTTTCTACAGTTGTGATAGGACCACAGTATGGTGAAAAGAACTGCGGTTGCTGAGGCAAATCAATACTGCAAGGCCGCATCGCATAAACTGGCGTAAGGACGTGCACTTTCACCTGTATCTATAGAGAAATATATAGGTAAATTAACACCAAGTATCACTGATGTTCTGAGGTAGCTACCATGAATAACATTTAACGAATTTCGCAGGTAAATACGTCAAATACACGTAAATTACTAACACCAGGCTTTCGCTGTTCTCCTCCATTCAAATAAGCAACCTCTACTAAACTATACAGCAACGTGGTACATGAATGAATATGCTACATAATCTTAACATCATTTGCTGATGTGATTCTTTCTCTTGCTCAGTTTTGAACATATCACATATTGCTAATAGCTGCGCCTTATGGTTCATCAATTTTCTAATATTCTTTTATTTTTATATTTGAATCGGATAATCTGACAAGCAGATAGTCACGGTTTACCTTACCGCGATAATTTGTAACTTCACCTCTGCGACTTCAAATGTCCCGCAGAAGCAGTGCTTACTTTTCGAATGACCGACTTTGGGAAGGCGGTTCTTCGGTACATTTCATATCGGCTGAGTTGCTCCTTCGAAAAATTAGACACCAGCACCCTGAAATTCTGCAGAGTTTTAACCATAAATTAAATTAAATATTTAATATGCACAGGGATTCTGTCACGATAATGCAAAGCATAAACTGTCGTCCACGTTAATGCATGAGTCAGTAAAATGGAGATGATAATTTTTCGCAAGTGAGGCGCAGCCGTTGTGGAATGCGTTTTAAGTCCCCTTTACTGAAATAT